TGGGGTTCGGACAGATTTGTTACCCCCGAACAAACCTTTTTCCTAGCTAAACGATAAAAGATATCGACACACTTCCTTCAATGTGAGTGCTAGGAAGGTCTGAGGAACAACTTCCACAAGGCTCGTGTTGCTACGTCGAACGGTTCCCGAATGGGAGCGATACGAAAAAGTCTGTTTTTTTGAATTTTCAGTTCGGATTTTCAGAGAGCTCTCATTGGATTTCTATTGGAGAAGTTTGGACTTCTTCGTGGTCTGGGCCAAACTGTCGGAAAACCGTAAATGTCACACGAATGAGGGTTACATTTCCTGAATCCTGACAAAAATCCCTACGTTTTGATGTAAAATTTATCTAGATAGAGTAAAAAATGAGCGAGTGAGTTGAAGCTGTTCGGCATGAGTGAAATGTTTGAAAACGCTAGAGTGGCACACTCTAGCAGCTGAACATTCCGTCCATAGACTTCCATTATAAATTTGAAAATCTGTAAAAATTGTTTAAAAGTTTGAAGCTTCACTGAAGCAAAACTGTAAAAGTTAGCTGAAAGCCGAGTTAAACAGTAATAGCAGAAAGATACGGAAACATTTTAAAAGTTGAATGGTGTTTCTAGCTGAAAGTATGCTGAAGTAGTTAAAGCTCAAAGTAGTTGAAGATTTGCTGAAATTTTGTGGAAATTTTCTGATTTTACATTCATTCCTATGGGAGCAAAAAAGGCATAAAAAGTTAAATATTTTAAAAAGTATAAAAGTTTAAAAAGTAAAAAGATATAGCAGAATTGTACTAATTAAGTTGAATAGTTTAAAAGTTGAATGGTTGAAATAGCACAAAGTATGAAGGACTAGTTAAATGACAAAGAAAAACGGAGCAACCAGAATAAGAATAATAACTAGAAAAAGTTGCATTTCCTGCGAAAATGCAGTGTGAATGCTGTACGCTAAACTGTAAGCTGTAAGGTTAAAATGGCAGAAAAAGGCTGAAATTTAAAGTCAAAGCTGCTGAAATGGTATGGAATGGCAAAAAAAAGGTCTAATTAGTTTCATAAGAGTAGCTGAAGACAACAGCAGAAACATGGCAGACATGTTATGAATTAACAGCAAGCAGAAAAGCTTAATGCCTTTCCAGAAAGAGAGCAGAATCAAGCCAAAATTGGAAAAAATATGCAGAACTTTTATAAAATAGCAACAACGGTAACATAAACAGTAAAAAAGTTGAATCTTAACTAGTTGAAGACAAAAATTAGTAGCTTAAGGATAGGAAGATAAATGTTGAATATGTATAAAAGTATTAAAGTCAGAAATCATATGTGGAAAAGTAAAGATTTGTAAAACAAAATTTAAATTAATTAAAATGTGTCAGTTGATCAGCAGAGAGAAAACAGTGTCATCCTTAGAATCTTGAAAATCCACAAACCAAAGTACAAGACTGACCATAAGAAGCACAGGAAGGACAGAGAGAGAAGCTTATAAAAAGAGAGTTAATAAAACTTAAGGAGCTGAATTTATCAAAAAATCTAACCTGCATGTTATGAGCCGCTGTGTTGATGACAGCACAGTTGGCAGGCTTAGGCTGCATGTTACGAGGTTAGCAGATGCTTTATTACAGTGTAAATCTTAGAACCTGATTAAGAAATATGCACTGAGGTGTGTGGTCAACAGGCCTTGGTAGTGTAATTTGAAGAAATTGGTTGAGTTTGGGTCATAGCTACGAGCCATACGGCACAATGATTGAGTGTATGTAAGAAAGAGGCTTTTATTTTGTAGAGTCCCTTTAGTCTTATTTTGAAAGTCTATCATGGATGTGTGTCAAGGGAAGGGTCATGCCCAGCAGTGATATAGAATCCATTTCTAAATATGAAATCACTTGTTTTCCATGTTATTGGGTGAATAGATGCTCTGTTAGAGCGTAAATGGGAGACTTTTATTGTGAAATTCACTCCAGGGTATGTTTTGAAAAGGTCCCTAGAGTCTAATAGAAACAAGCTGGTAGAGTTTGGGTCATAATGCTGAGCCATTTGCATCAATTAATACACAAGTATAATATAGAGGCTTTTATTTTGTAGGGTCACTGGAGTCTTATTTTGAAAGTCTAGCATGGTTGTGTGTTGAGGAAAAGGGTCAGACCCAGCAGTGACACTTGATGACTTTCCAATCATTAAATCACTCTTTCCCCTGTTATTAGGGCAGTAGATGAAGTGGCAATGGGAGGCTTTTATTTTGAAATTTGCTGTGGGGTGTGTTTTGAAAACCCCCCTAGAGTCTAATTTTAAAAAAAGTGGTTGAGTTTGGGTCATAATGTTGAGCCATATGCTGGGAAAAAAATATGAGTTTAATGTAGGGGCTTTTATTTTGAAGGGTCCCCGGAGTCTTATTTTGAAAGTCTATCAGGGTTGCGTGTGAAGGGAAGGGTCATGGCCAGTAGTCATATTGTATCCACTTCCTAATGTTAAATCAGTGTTGTCTCCCTCCATTAGATTAAAATGTGCTGTTTAAAGTGGTGGAGGTAAAATCTGTTTGAAGCTCGGTTACCTTGACAACGTTAACGAGCCTGTCAGTGACAGAGAGAAACGCGCATCACTTTCGTTCCTTAGTTCTCAGGCTTTTTTGAATGGGATTATCAGCTCCGAACAAACAAGTGCTGAAGACAAACCGTAAATGGTATCTAAAAAATTCTTTCAGTCTAAGCGAGAGCTATCCTTTGTCTCCGATTGGGGTAACTTTCATGGCTGTAGCTCATTCACAACCTTAATGGGAAGGAGGAATAAAAAGGTTTGAGAAATCCTGCTGGTCTCATTGAATAACATGCAGCTTAATGGTAGAGCAGAACTCTCAAAAGCAAAACTTTTCCTCCGAACAAACGAGCGGTGAGCCAAAACCGTATTAGGTATTCAAAAAATTCTTTCGCCGTGAGCGTCAGCCATCTTTGGACTACAACTGGGGTGACTTTCATATTTCTACAATATTTCGTCTAGGCGTGGTGACGATGTAAAAAAGTGTATAATTGTCAAAATCCTGATTTTGGGGTTCGGACAGATTTGTTACCCCCGAACAAACCTTTTTCCTAGCTAAACGATAAAAGATATCGACACACTTCCTTCAATGTGAGTGCTAGGAAGGTCTGAGGAACAACTTCCACAAGGCTCGTGTTGCTACGTCGAACGGTTCCCGAATGGGAGCGATACGAAAAAGTCTGTTTTTTTGAATTTTCAGTTCGGATTTTCAGAGAGCTCTCATTGGATTTCTATTGGAGAAGTGTGGACTTCTTCGTGGTCTGGGCCAAACTGTCGGAAAACCGTAAATGCCACACAGATGAGGGTTACATTTCCTGAATCCTGACAAAAATCCCTACGTTTTGATGTAAAATTTATCTAGATAGAGTAAAAAATGAGCGAGTGAGTTGAAGCTGTTCGGCATGAGTGAAATGTTTGAAAACGCTAGAGTGGCACACTCTAGCAGCTGAACATTCCGTCCATAGACTTCCATTATAAATTTGAAAATCTGTAAAAATTGTTTAAAAGTTTGAAGCTTCACTGAAGCAAAACTGTAAAAGTTAGCTGAAAGCCGAGTTAAACAGTAATAGCAGAAAGATACGGAAACATTTTAAAAGTTGAATGGTGTTTCTAGCTGAAAGTATGCTGAAGTAGTTAAAGGGCAAAATAGCAGAAGATTTAGCAGAATTTTAGCAAAATGCCATTCATTTCAATGAAGCAAAAATTTGCAGAAAAAGCAGAATAATTTAAAAAGCAAAAGAGGTAGAAGTACAAAAAGACATAGCCGACATGTCCTAAATGAGCTGAATATTGTGAAATTTGAATGGTTGAAATAGCACAAAGTATGCAGAAGTAGTAGCGTTACAAAAAATGGTCGGAAGAATAAAATAATAAAAAAAATAAATAAAGAATAAAGAGAAACAGGATCTCAATAGTGTGAATGCCTACAGCATTCACACAATAAATATAAACAGAAAAACAATAAGTGGGAATGCATAAGCATTCCCACTTGATAAGGAAATATAAGGGGAAGGGAAGGTTATTCAGGTGAACGGTGAGATAGGACGATTTTACAGAAGGATGGAACCAATGCTAAACAGGAAGGGTTCAAGGAAAAAAGCATTGAAAGTAGGAGAGAAAGTAGGGAATGAGGAAAAAAGGAAGTAAAGTGTTGACTTGCCATCTCTATTGCAGAAGAGTCATGTGTAAAACTAAAAGAACTAGAATGACTTGTCTACATATTTGATTCAGCCACTGTAGGGTTGATCCAAAGACAAACTGAGTGGAATCCAGGCTTCATAACTAATGTCCACCTGTTGATATAGAAACTCTACAGTCAGACTGAGTAACGTTCTCCATTTTTGTGTTTCCTACCTGCAGGCGTCTCTGTCAGCATCTCCACCTTCAGTCTGGTGGCCATCGCCATCGAGAGGTACAGCGCCATCTGTAACCCTCTGAAGTCCCGTGCGTGGCAGACCCGCTCCCATGCCTACCGCGTTATCGCTGCCACCTGGGTGGTGTCACTGCTCGTCATGGTGCCCTATCCCGTCTTCAGCACCCTCAAGTCCTTCCCCAAAACCAACGGAACCGTTGGCCACATGTGTCGTCTGGACTGGCCCAGTCAGCGTGCCGAGCAGACCTGGTGAGAGCAGCAAATGCTAAAATATAAATAAATATGAAATGACTTGTTTTTAAATGATTTCCAATGATTAGGTAGACTTTCCCCTTACCCTCAGCAGAGATACTTGGGTAAAAGTGAGAGCAATATTTTTACCTTTCTCCTGCCTCCAAATGGGAGGAGGAAACACTTAAGGCATATCATGCTATTTGCATGTGTGCTGTCAGTAGATGTACCTTTGGAACAGGGCAATCAGATGACTTTCAACTGATTGCACAATTTTAGAGAAGAAGTTACATGCTGATCAGCTCATTTTGGTAATTGCTCTCCGGTTTCCTGTTCAAACAGCTGGTAACCAGGGCCATCACGGCAGATATTAACTAAGCTACAGCTTTAATAAATCACTGTTGACTCTTTCTGTGTTCCTTTACTCCAATAAAGAACAAGATGCAGAATTTCATGCACTTAGGATGTGTAGATGTCTTATCTCTCTTATTTTACCTACAGTGCTATAAAAAAACAAGAATTTCTGTTGTCATTCATAACATTCTCACTATGGCATACGCCCCTTGCCATATTCCAAAGAAGCATTTATCTCACTACTCCAATCCTAATTGGCTGGTGATTGCGACCACTGAGTCACCTATCCTGTAAGTAGCATGCACCATGATGCAGCATCATTCAAAAACCTCTTCTTAGATGGAGAAATATTTTTAGCTAACTCTCTTGGGTTTGGCGCTAGCTGCTACAACTCAAGTCTTCACCATAGTCTAGAGCAGTTGTCTTCAATGTTTTCCAGGCCAAGGACTGCTAAACTGATGGCGAGATAGAGCGGGGACCCCCTAATTATATATATTGTATGAAATAGTGTTATATCAAACTGGTCTTATAGTCTCTCTATTACGTAAAGTAATTCCTCCCTGGGATTATTAAAGTATTTCTGATTCTGATTCCTGGTTGATGGGACAGGTGTTGTGAATGAAACGGTGCCCCGCTTGAAAGAGCTCCTGTGTGTCACTGAATGTGTGCATTGATGACTGAAAGACATCTTCTGCCTCCATTTTTCTGTTTACTAAAGTGTGTTGCATTTATATTAATGTGTATTTAAAGACATTTCAATTTGTGGAAAAAAATTGCAGGGGGGAATCTAAAAAAAAAAATCGTATGAACTAAAACTTTCGCGACCCCATGCAGTACCTCTGTGGAGCCCCTAGGGGTCGCGGACCCCTTGTTGAAGTCCTCCAGTCTAGAGCTATTACCACCTATATTTTCACACCAGCTAATATTACCTGTTCTGGGCTTTCACACCAGTCAGCTCAGCCCTTTTCTTCTCCAAGTACGGCTAGTTAACTAGCTGCCGAAATGCACCCTGCTTCCTCTCACACCAGAGGAGATAGCAAGTCAGAGGCTCACTTTTGTGGGTGCGGGGACAAATTTTCGGGCAAGGACCCACATGACATGTCATGGTGGAACACACCGCGTGGCGGTTGATGCCCCGGGTTCATGTACGGACTGTTCCCGCTTCACAATGGAAAGAGCGTTCGTAGACGGCTAAAATGCTAAGTTAGCCTCTCCGGCAGAGACCCGTATTTGTCGTCGATCGGATAGCTACAGTGCTGCATAGAAACAAGAATTTCGGTTTTACTTATTTCTTCTGTTTTGACTGGGTTAATTTTTGGCCTCATGTAAACCGTTAAGATCAAACAAAAAAATTCAACATAAGAAAAAAAAAAAAAAAAAAGTACATACAATAAGATTTTTAATATCATTTGATTTTTTTTGAAGGAAAAAAGTCATAGGTAATAGTGTTTTGTGAAAAAGGGGTGTTGAGTCTTTTACATCAAGGTGAAAATTTTTTTAGCCATCTGTTGTTTTTTATAAACGCATAAATGGTTTAAGGTCAGAGCATCTCAACTGGGTTTCAGACTAGACTTTGACTAGACCACTCATACATCTTCGAGCCATTCATAGATGGACTGGCTGGGTGTACTTTGGATTGTTGTTCTTAGCAGAAATAATAGTTTCATAATTTATATGAGGTCACACTGGTACCGAAGCAGCAAATCAGCCACGGACCATCACACTACCACCGCCGTGTTAATTTGACTGTCTTTACAATGTCCCATTTGGTTTCTACTTGGTCTCTTCAGTCCAAAGATTATTTTCAATAAGTCTTGGTGATCATCAGTATGTTTGTTGGTAAATCTGAGGCAGGTCTTTCTACTTTGTGTGTCTTGAAATCTCCCCCGGATGCAGTTTTTGCCCAGTTACTCCCTTACGGGTTCACCAGTGTTCCTCACGTTCTCCATTTGTGGATAATTGTTCTGACTACAGTTCACAGGAGAACCAAAGGCTTACAAATAGCTTTATAACTCTTTTTAAATAGATTAATGATGATGAATTTGGTTGTTGATTTTGTTCAGATCAGTGTTGTTTATTTTTTACCTTTTTCAGCCTACTTTGTGTTGTCACAATATTATCTTGATTTTTCCAACTCTTTAAAACTCAAAAATGTTTCCTTTTTTTTAGTTAACTGGCAAATCGAAGCTAAATTATAATTTAAAAATTAAATTTTCTCATAGTACAAAGTTGGTTTGGATAGATATTTTTTCCTAATTAGATTTAAAAAAAAAAAACTTTCTCACAATGTGATAAATAATATTTAATTACCAAGTTGGTAATCGATTTGATGAGCTATTACATACGCATATAACAAAAAGATTAACATCCATATCAACTCTCTGAAAAGGAATAAATAAAAAATAATAACAAATAATCCATCCTTTTACGTTCTGGTGCTACTGTTTACTAAAAAGGATGATCAATAGTTCAACTTTGCATCAATCTAATTATATTATTACTAATTAAACTGATGAATTATTAAACCTCTAGGATCTAACCATGTTATCCGTCTGACAATGAAATAAATTTATTGATCTAAAATGTTTAAGTGTATCAAAAAGACAAAAATGGAAGAACTCTAGAAGAATTCTTCACGACAGCACTTCGTGTACCGCATCCCTTTGTCTCTTTACGTCAGGTAAACAATCATTCCAGTGTCAAGCACCTTGTTTTCCCTCTCCAGCAAAGAGCTCCTGAATCTGTCATAACCTTCAACAGTAGGAACCAGTAAAAGGAGCGTCACGCTAGAAAGTGTCACAGTGAATTAAATCCTGGTGTCTTTGTGAAATAGGTGGTGCTTGAGGTGGAGTGATGCATGAGCAGCGTGTAAGGCTAGCCCACAGCTGGAGCTAGTGACCTAATGCCTGACGTACCAGTGGGAGTCAGCCCTAGTTTCTCTACAAGTCGCCAGATGGTGGTTTGAAGTTGCACTGAGACTGAACAAAGTTGATATGCATCTGACTAGATTCATCATTTTTAGGGCTGAGGGCTCTGTGAATAAGATGTCGTTTGTCTTTATCAGAGAAGACATTTCTAACCTTTGAGGTCTTGCAAAATGTAAAATGAATAGTAAGTCAACAGCGATAGTAATAACAAAACTTAAATCAAATCTTCCTGACAGCCCGGATGGACAAAAGACTCCAGCTCCAAATTGCCGTCATGTAACAGACGATCTAAAAGCAGCACAGAAACTGAATTGTGGCGACAGATCGTTTATCTTGGATGTTTTTTATTAGATCTGGATTCCGATTGGACACATGAATGATGGGTGAATTTTTTCTGTCAGAAACAGTTTGTCTTGGTAGAGACGGTACTGCTTTACGCCTCAACCTCAATATATTTCCAGGGAAATACAAAAGCATATAAACCATTTGAACTTTTCTAACTTTTTTACAGTATAAGCACATATTTCAACTAATTTCAATCGGACTTATAAGTGACAGACTGAAACAAAGAGGCACAGAACATATATTTGCTAGAGAACGTCTGAACAGCAATGTTCTAGTGTTTCCAATTATTCTCTATTGGATTTGGTTAGGGCTGCAACTAACGATTATTTTAAAAATCTATGAATCAGCCGATTATTTTTTCGATTAATCGATGAATCGGACAAAAAATATTTTTTATATTAACCTCTTTATTCCAAAATAAACATGTTAGACAGAACAAACAAGCAGACAAGTACAGGTTGCTCATTAACTGTACTGGTGCAATATGAAAAATAAATGTTTGTGTTAAAACTACGCAAACTTACATGAGAAATGTAGCTGTACATCCACAAAATATAGGCTACTTTGTTTCATAAAGCGCAAAAAAAGACATTTTTGTTTTTAAAAGCCCCTAAGGGGTTCAAACAACAGGCCCCCCCATTTCAACAAATGAGTTTCTTTTAGACTAGAAGAGTTCTGCCTTTTAAGACAGGAAAGTATAGCAGTTAAAGTTGCTACTTGAGAAAATACTGAACCATAGAGATAAGAATAGCCCTGTGATTCAAATCATAAATTGTATTTGGAATAAAAATGAGAGAACTAGGGGTGGTAAAAAACACATCCTCCAAAGACAGATATTTACATGGGAATGTGGCAGATAATTAATTGACATATTACTGATCTTGCTGGATTTTATTCTGCTTTACTTCCATAAATTGCAGGATCTTCTTTACTTTATCTTTGCCAGAAGATTTAAACTTTAAAAGCCTTGCCCTCATAATTTGCAAGTTAATTTATTTATAAAGAAAATATAAATGCTGCTTAAGCCAATTCAAATGAAATTAAAAGTAAAATAAGTAGTCAACCTTATCACTGTCTGTAACCTACTAACAAGGTAAGGAGGGCATCAGATGAGCTACTTGAGAAACTAACGTAACGTTTCCCCACTTTAAAACCAAACAAACATGGTTACTCATCCTGCTGATCAGCTCTCTTCACTGCCATCGAAGGCTCCAACGTGTTTCCTTTTCAGGTGCTGCGTCATAACAGTGGTGCTTCCGTGCCATTTTCATTTGTTTTGTTTTTACAAAAGTTGCCTGTTACGACTTTTTTCACTTTACAAAGCGCCGGCTATTTTAATTATTGTGATCAATTTGCGCCGTCAATCCCGGGGCATGCGCGCTACATTTGCAG